AGTGGGATAAAGATATCCAATTATGGAACTCAAAAAGTTTCTGAGATCAGCAACAACACAGAAGTTTTTATCCATGGATATAGAGATCCAAGATGTTGGCTAGACATATTTGGAGGCTTGTGATGCAGCACAAGGATACAAGATTAACGTCAAAACTAGTACGATCAAAGAAAGCAGTAAAACTGTTATCGGACATGCAAATCTGTTGCAGAGCATGTACCAAGAACTTGACTTGAAATTAAGTGCAGAGAAGATGTTGCAATTTTGAAAAATTTATTGAAGAACATTAGTTTATGATTTTCTTGGATGTCTCAATGCTCAATTTGATCAAGTCCAGATCCTGATTCTTGGCAAGGGAGATGTACCATATCTAAATGATAAGAATGAGAATGAAGCATTGAGAAGATACCTAGTCACAAAATTTGAGATCAAAAGAACAAGAAAGATTGTAGTACTTCCTAAGAACTGAAGTAGCTCATTCGGGGAAAAACATCTTCATGTCATAGCAGAAGAATGTGATCATTCTTCCAATGGAGACAACCATATTAGTATGTAGACTTGTCTTCAGACTAATTGAGCAAATTCACAACTTAGATATGAAAATAAAGATCCAACTACAGATAGACAAATGTACCAGATACTAGTAGGTAGATTTATATACCTTGCTCATTCAAGGCCAAACAACAAATATACTTTCATGGTGATGAGTTAATTTAGGCATAACTCAAGATGTATGTAGTCTACAGGATATTACATTACCTAAAAGCTCATCCTAACAAAGGAATACCATTTAAAACGAACACTGAATTAATCCTTGAGGCATATATCGATACAGATTATGCAGGTTCACCAATTGATAGACCGCCTACTAAAGGTTATTATACTTCTCGGAGAATCTTATGAACTGGAGTAAAAAGCAAGATTTAGCTGCTAAATCAAATGTAGAGGCAGAATTCAGGATAATAGCATACGGAGTGTATGAATTATTGTGGCTCAAGATAATTTTGGGAGATTTAAGGATTAGATGGGTGGGATCAATGAAATTATTTTGCAGCAACAAATCTGTCGTTGACATTGCTTACAATCTTATGCAACATGACAAGACGAGTCACATTGAAATAGATATACTTCACAAAGGAAAAGTTGGATGGATGGATTTGTACTTGCCGATATACTAACAAACGGACTCATTAGTGCAATATTTTGAGGACTTGCCTCCAAGATGGGAACGAAAGATGCATATGCACCAACTTGAGACGGATTGTTGGACAATCTCTCAATCTTCTATATCAATATTAGGTAATTAATCTACCAAAAAATACGGGATACCAGTTAGTTGCTTTGAAACTTTGGTTTAATTTAAGTTACCATATAATCAATTTCCCTTTTTTTCAGCAAAAGCGATATATACCTGTGTATATGATCCTCAATATACAAAAAATTCGAAGACTTCAAGTTGCTTGTATATCAGGAGTAAATCAGTCTAAAGACTAACAACACGGAAGCAAGTCCATGTCACAGCATGATCTCAACCCCTATCTGACCCACCTAGTTACCTGCTCAATTACTCATGATTCTACTTGAAAGCATCTAGAATACTCAATAATATCTTTTTTTAAAAAAAAAAAAATAAAAAGTATGAAAAGTATTATTCACAAAGGTAGCAAGGGAGTACCAACCATATACAAAATTTACAATTTAGTTAATATATCTATAATCTTCTCTGGAATACTCAAGAATATAGCAATTTCAAGATTTTTACTATTTGATCATATTAAGTCATTATTTAACTCCTTTCCTGCAGCCTCAATTGCTTTCCCAAAGGATCTAGTTTCAAGCATAAAAGAAACGAGAGCTAAATCTTTGCCAAATAAAGACATCTAGATTAAGTTCACTATTTCACAACTGTTTGCTATCAGTTATCTATCTTTTTCACACACAACATCTACAATCATGACTATCTAAAACCTTGAAATCTTTGCTGATCATTCTCCAAAAATAATGAATCCTTTTCATAAACAATGTGAATTTATGGGGAATAGAGCCTGTCAAAGCCTATCCTGGTCATATTTTCTAGTCAACTGATAATGAGCTAAGAAAATAAGTTTGGAAAAGAAGCAACCAACTTTTAGTCCACTAAAGCTTCTACCATCCTAAGATAATGCTGTCAAGGGCCAGGACAGAGACCAGGGTACCAACCATAGAAAATCCAACCAACTTTTGCTTTGGAGATGTAGGAGAGGGAGGGAGGGGGGCATGACCCCATGTCGGCTACCCTTTTCCCATAAGATGTGACATAAAGTGAAACAAGTATTCAGCCAAGTGCGCAGCAAATAGATGTTGGCAGTGAAAGAATAGAAACTACCTAATCTTATATGAATGGATCTGTCACGTAATATTTTGTAGTTAAGGCAAAAAAGGATTTGGGACTTTTAGTGGTCCGCAGTAAATTTATTACTAAATAAACTTCAAAAGCATTGTGAAGATAAACGCAGATCAAAATGTGCTTGGAAACCACTAGGTAGTGATATAGAAAAAGAAGAGCTTGAAAATAAGAAAGCCAAAGATCTCAGTTGTAAGTAATTAAATAAAAAAATTTCAAATTTGTTGAATAATAACCATAGAAGTTAACCTCAAACTACTTTAAGATACTCTTTCTAAAAGCAGCAAACACTACCAAAATAGGAAAGTAAAGTAAATTCCCTAAAGAATGGAAATCCTTAATAGGAAAATTAAGGTAGAACAGAAAATCCTAGACCACAATAGAAACTATACAAAAAATTTCATAAACAGTTTTAGCTTCTGAACTACTTAATATGTCCTAAATAAGGTCAAAATTCCTAATAATATACAAATTATCATGCTTACATAATTATCTTGATATTTTTGGTACTAGGCTTTTCCAATTTAATCACTTCTTGTTCCGCGTACTAGGCTTAATCTATAAAGTACAAAAGCTTTGACAATGAACATTAATGAATAAAAGATTTTCTTGGATTCCGGACAAGAGAGGCATTTGCATTGTCAAAACAAATGTGCATAAAGAAAAAGAAAGTAAAAGCAATTCTTAAGGTCAACTAAGGCACATGATATGAAAAATAATTATGAAATAACACTGTTATAAGATAAGCATACAGAGCTCAAGGGTTAGATAAGGATACAAACTTTTAGGAAATATATCATTAACAGAGATAAAGATTATAAGGGTAATTATAGAATTTCCTCTAGTCATATTAAAAAATTGCAAAACAAATAAAAACCTCCAAGTTATTGAAGGCACAGCTCTTGATTTATGTTCTAATTAAAACTATGGGTTCATGCAGATCCATATGTTTGAATATTCTGATAGTGGGGTCAATTAAGTAGAAATAAGAACATTTATTGGTTTAAATTATTTATTAGAACTGGAACTAAAATTATCAAAACTCTATAAAAAAAATCATCTTTTATTGAAAAAATATGTTCTGTTTTAAAATCCAGTGGGCCAATTGCTCTTACTTGAACAAAGGAGAAGCTGCCCCTATACCTGAACCCAATTTTGATTCTCTTTTCTCTCATGAGAAAGAAATGTGTGAGCTCAGTTTATGGACTCAAGTCATTTGTTACTACCAATTTAAGCTGAAATTTTTAAGTAATTGGTTTGGATTCAAAAAGTTGGTAGACTGTTTAGTATTAATTCATGTCTTATCCTAGCAACACTTCATTAGTGTCATATTAGATCATATCAAACTTTGTTGTGATTTGTAATTATAATATATGGACTTGATGAGGACATTAAGATTTCAAATAAGGAGAATTGAAATATCCTGATCCAAAATCGAGAGGATGATTTTATTGACGAGCTGTATAGATAGATCTAATCTACCCATTACTAACAACTTAAGTTTTAAGTTTTAAGGATCTTCATTTAGGTAAAACGTTACTAAGCCATTCGCTAGGTTACAAAGGGAATTTCAGACAAGTGACGACTTATTGAATGGCTTAAGTCTAAATACTATATAATCCAGCAAAACTGCTCATGACTCAGTCGGAATGAATTTCCATTTGGCATTCTTAGCTCAAGCATTGTTTATTGATCGCTCAAGATCTAGTAAATTCAATAGTTGTAGTAACAGAAGTAACACTAGGAAGACTCAATATACACCAAGCTGAGAAACAAGATACACTTCCCCCTAATGCCAACATGAAAACAAACTTCTTACAATCATTAAGGAAAGTTAAGATTCTTTTCTAAAAAGAAGGGAAAACAGAAAAAATTGCACATAACCTACCAACTAAATATGAATAGGACTTGTCAAGGATCTTATTCATTTACCACAGTTTGGGAATATAACTCCATTGGAGCTTTACTTTTCTTGTCCAACAAGGAGGGGACTACTCATATATGCCCATCTCACTTATTTACAATTTCATCCCCACATCCATTAGTCAACAGCAAAGAAAAATTAAATATATACCTATTTCATAGAAGATGTCATTGACATTTGCAGCAGTTTTGGCGGATGTTTCCATGAAGAA